AATGGGTATACCACCTTAATAAACAAAACATGCTAAACATTGTTTTTCGTGTAATAATATATAACAGAATTGTCACATGTCAATACATGTAACTCTACATCATCCATGTTATAGTTATCACTTTTCATCAAACCTCAATGCATGTGGCTCCTTTTAGTTATTTTCAACGTCATAAGCAATAACTTTGTACAAGAGATAGCACAGGCTAGTATGGAGGAACACAGACTTTGAAGTCAGTCCACGGAGGCAGAAACCAAGCTCCTGTATTTCTCCACTTGCTGGCTGTGTGTCCTTGGGCAATCTGCTTATCCTTCCCTTGCATGGTTTCACCTGTAAAAGGGAGATACTAATAGTACATAGCTCATTAGATTGTTGTGAGGATGAACGAGTTAATATTTATTATGTACTTAGAAAATGTCTGGCCCTGTATGCAATACATAAATAATAAACAAAGTTAGAAAATTAACATAAATGATCCCTGTATCAATCAAGGCTCTTTGCCATCAAGAGAAACTCAATTTATCTCAGTTAGACAAAAAGGGACTTCACTGATGAAATAGACAATGGCTCATAGAAAAGACCAGAAGGGTATATGTTGAACTGGCAAACAGCCTGGGAACCAGGGCAGGAATCTGGGCAGTTCTAGGAATTGAGCACCAGGAACAATGAGGCTATCTTGTTAAGGATGTTAATGAATGTTTACTGATTCTCTTTTTAACTCTCCATGACACTTCACTCAAGAGTCCAGCTTCCCCAAGAAGAGTCTGACCGACCTGGCCTGCTCAAGAACCAGTATCTTGATTAACAAACCCTTTACTTCTGCACCCAAAGGGGAGAAGTTGTTCACAAAAAGAACCAGATACTGTTAGGAAAGGGGGATGGAGGAGGCTGGTCAGCCAAGGAAAACTTGGGTGGCTATGGAACTCACCTGGGGGACTCACAGTGGTGGACCACTGCTATCTAATAGAGGAATGGGACAATTCCAGGCCACTCAGAGGGGCAGCAGAGCTGGGGGCTGAGTATTTTGGGTCTGCTGGAGCAGGTTGACTGCATCTCTTCTGCCCTGTGCTGCAGAGGCAAAGGCCAAGTTGGTCACCATTCTAGAAGGGAAGGGATCTGCCCCACCCCACTGCACAGCCAAAAGCAAGCATGGGGCTAAGCCTGTAGTTGTGTCAATCCAGTTTAACCAGACTCAGGGAGATGTAGAGTGTTTGCCATGAGGGTGGAGAGCCTGGCTGGGTTCATAACCTGGGGGAGTGTGGGGGCCTGTGTCCCTGGGAGCTGCCAGGACCGGTGCCCTCATTGTCCTGAGCTGGGTCCTCTGGATGCCAGCACACACCCTTTTCTGCTGTACTGGGAAGAAGGACTTTCAATCAGGGAAAAGGGGAGATGGCCCTGGGAGACTTCACAAGGCCCCAGAATCAGAGCCCAGATACCGATGTCGTGACTGTGCTTCCTATTACACCAAACTCTCACATATTCCCAGCTGGGTGCCATTTATTTCCTAGTTAGATGCTCAGGGAAGTCATAGGAGGAAGGACACAGAGTGAAGATCAGTGTTTCTTGGAAAGAGATGGTTGCTTATGTAAGCCCCCAAACAAAAACCAGGTTCAATACTGTCACTCGATCTTCTTCTCTAGCAAAGAAAAAAATATTCTTAGGCTTCTTGGCAAGAACGTATATGTCTCTTCCACGTAAGTGCTTTACAAGTATTAACTCCAACTGAAATTCCAGAATAATCCCTGCCTCTTCCCCAGGAATATTATTTACTTTGTTATTTTGTTTACTATAACAAGTCCACTCCTATGAGCACAGAGTACAAAGTATGTCTAGTTCAGAGTTGTGTGTTTCCTAACAAAAGTATACTTTCTTTTTGACACTACTGTGCTTCTCTTCTCTTGGGTGGGCAGGGGGATTAGAGGTTCTCTCTGCCACCGCTGATGTCTCCAGAACCAGGGTTGGTTATGGGAGTGGCAAGGCTGGTTTGTTGCTTAGGAGTAAGGACCAGAGAGCTCTGCTTCTGATATTCAAGAAGAAGCTCCTAACCAACCAGTCACCTTGCTGATAACATCGAAAAACCCTGGACAATATTCAAAAACACAACGGCCTGAGGCCTTGGCAAGGTAAATGAAAGCAAGTGCACTTTGGGGAGAAATCGAAACTCACAGATCAACTTCCTGTTTTTTCATCTCCTGGCTCTGAAAGCAACCACAGTCTTGTGTGGGGCAGCCCAAAACTTTGATCAAAAGCCTACCTTCTTTCTGGTGGGCAAAACAGGAGGAGAAGCCAAGAGCAACCAGGCTTTCTGGGAAGTGAGGGGAAAATCCCAGAAGGGGGAAAGTCACAAAAAGGAACCCAAATTCTGTGATTAAACCCATCCCAAGTCTCAGACTGATGCCTGGGGCAAACACATCAGTCTGCACTGAGGGCTGAGCTTTGCCCACTGCAGACAAGACAGAGAGAGTGCAGCTTGAACCTGACCATGCGAATCACTTGCTAAAAAAAGAGGTCTTCCACTTCTCAAAAGAAGATATACGGGCGGCCAACAGACACATGAAAAAGTGCTCAGCCTCACTCATCATTAGAGAAATGCAAATCAAAATCACACTGAGATACCACCTAACCCCAGTAAGAATGGCCATCACTAGCCAGGCTTGGTGGCTCAGCCTGTAATCCCGCGCTGTGGGAGGCCGAGCTGAGTGGATTGCCTGAACCCGCGGGTTCGAGACCTGCCTGGGCAACTTGGCGAGACCTCATCTCTACAATAAATTTAAAAAAAAAAAATTAGCCGGGCATGGTAGCATGCGCCTGTAGTTCCAACTACTTGGAATGCTGAGGCGGAAGGATCTCTGGAGCCCAGCAGGTCGAAGCTGCAGTGGCCAGGAGTGTGCCACTGCACTCCAGTATGAGTGACAGAGTGAGACTCCAACTCAAAAAAAAAAAAAAAAAAAAGAATGGCTATCAAACGAACAGCAACAGATGCTGGTGAGGATGTGGAGAAAAAGGAACACTATTACACTGTTGGTGGGAATGCAGACTAATACAACCCCTTTGGAAGACAGTGTGGCGATTTCTGAAGGAACTAGAAATTGACCTTCCATGTGACTCAGTAATTCCCCTATTGGGAATATACCCAGAGGAACTCAAATCATTCTACAAAAAATATACCTGCATACGTATGTTTGTTACAGCTCTATTCACAATAACAAAAACATGGAACCAACCGTGTTGCCCATCAAAGCTGGACTGGATAAAAAAAATATGGTACATATACACAATGGATTATTATGCAGTCATAAAGAAGGACAAATATATGGACTTTGCAGCAAATTGGATGGATTCGGAGTCGATCATACTCAGTGATTTATCACAAAAACAAAGAACTGAGTTCCATATGTTCTCACTCATAAGGTGACCTTGAACAATTATAATGCTATAAGAAAGAAATTGGCAGTAGCGGAAAAACTGTCAGGGGAAAAGGGGGTGGGACTGGCATTTGGGGAAAACTGCTAGGGGAGGGAGGGGCACACCTCATCAACAAGGGTACCAGCATGATCAATGTTTGTATATCTAACCCTGAATTGTACCCTACATCTTTATAATAAATAAATTAATTAAATAAATTAAAAATTAAAATAAAATAAAAAGAGGTCTTCTTATTCTGATCCAAGTGAGAGTTGTATGCAATAAGCTGTCCATGCAGTTACTTTAAACATAGCCTGGACATTGGGTGCTGCAAAACAATGCAGTTAATCAGGTGCCTTCAGATCCTCCACTAATATTAATACTTCTGCTAGATCCTCTGATCTGAAATTTTTTTATCTGACATAAAACCACCCTTTCCTACATTGCATCAAAGCTGGGACTTCTCCCTCCTGAAATCTTCATTCAAGTGTTCCCCTGAAGCTCATGGTGTGTGAGACTGAAGTCTACACTGGCTCATACAAGGATGGTGCATTCTAGAGTGGTGCAGTGGTAACACTCCCTCTCCCGCAATATTTGAGCTGGAAACTAGGGCATGGAATATTCAGGGAATGGGGTCATTCCTCTGCTGAGATATTTGTCTCACATCTTTAAGTGAATCCTGCCATATCTCCTGGGAACGTGGGTAAGACCACTTTCCATCCCCTGCCCACCCCAACCTTCAAAGAGTTCATCTGCAGTTGACGGAGCCTAGATGAGGAAGAGGATGCAGAGCCCCAGCCCTGAGATCCCAGGATCTCATAGATATAAGGATGTGGCCACACTTTCTGACTCTCTCTGGGGTCTGTGACCACTTCTCTGGGTCTCCAGGAATTGGATTGAGCCCATGGCTGGTATACTCCGCAAGTCTGGACATGTCTGCTGTTAGAAGTTTTTGCAAAGTCTGGGGTCCCTACGTGTGGCCTGGAGTGCTGTACAAGAGCTAGTTAGTGGGATTTGTTTTGTGCTTATTCTGCAAATACAAAAAACCCCCCAAAAATCTGGGGTTCCTGTATTGTCAAGTTCTTCTGGCGGCAAAGGACCCCAGGGGGAAACTTCCCCGAGGGAGATCCGGTGGGGGATGGGTGGGGGGAAGGGCGTCACCAAAGTTGTGGGCATGAAACGAACTTCTTTGAAGTCTCGTGTCTTCTTTTAAAAACTCATTCTAAGCCGTACATTTTTGCAGCTTATTTGCTGTTTTTAAATGCTTTCAGTGACTCACCACCGAGTCAAATTCTTGTGCCTGGCAGGCACCTCAAGATTATCCCTCCCTGGCAGGTAGGGCGGGATGTAGGGGAGAGGGCCAACAGGGGGCGGACTTCAGCCTCCGGGGAAGTGGGGAAGGCAGGGCCACTTTGGGGCTCCCGGGCTGAACGCAGCTCTCTGGGAAGACAGATGGACGGGACAGGGTCACCGCGCCATCTGAACAGAGACTTCTCTGTCCAGGCGACAAGCCCGTTTATGCTTATGAACTGCCAATACCAAATTATCTCGGAACTCAGTGCTTACACTGGTTCAGCTTTATTTAGAGGACAATAATGGCGCCTCAACTACCAATTTTTCAGTATTTCGAAAGGTATCATCTTGAGAAGAGAAGGATTTTCGGTTTCTATTTCCGCGAACTGACCTCAGAGCCCAGCTCCAAGGAGACGGTGATGCCGCGCAAGGCCACTAGAGGGGAGTGTAGACCTGGCTGGAGCCGAGCTGCGAAGGAAAGCGGGCACCAAGGAAATGGGGGTCACAGGACCCTTCCTTGATTTGTGTGGCACAGTGTCTCTTCCCATTCAGTTCTTTTTCCAAGGATTCACTTTCTTCCAACAGAAACAATCGCATTTCCACCTCCAACAACCCCTCTGGTATCCTACAGTCCTGCAACCTCAGGAGGAGGGCAGAGGGTAGGGAAGCTGAAATAGTGCTACCAAATGCCCGCTGAGCCAGGGGATAGTCCCTAAAAGCTGAAATATTGCTACCAAATGCCCGCTGAGCCAGGGGATAATCGCATCACAATTTTTCACTTGCAAGGGGCTGTGAACCCGGCCTCTACCCATCTGGGGCACAGGCAGAAGTGAACATGAGGAGAGAGGCGTTTACTCATGTGCTTGAACCCTTTTAGGGTTTGAGAGGTTCTCCAAAACTGCATTTCTTTTTCCCACCTGAGTTCCAAGCCCACTGAGACAAAAGTAAAAAGGAGAGACAGATAGGGATCATTCCTGATAAAAGCTAGCCTGGGGGATGTGGTGTGTGGCAATAAAGAGACCCCTAGAACCGAACCCCAGAATCAGGCTTATCCACATGGCCTCAGGCTGCTCCAGTCACCCACCTACCCCCACCCCCAGGCAGGTTCCTGTCCTGTGCACTTGGAGGAGCTGACAGAACCCTAGTCTCTGCAGGCAGAGACCCAACAAAGAGCAAAATTATCCCTGGTCTCCAAACCCCCGAGTCAGAGATGCCTTCCCCAGAATAAGGGAGGTGGCAGAAGGGACCAGGCATGTCACCCAAATTGATGTGCCGCCCCTAGAAGGAGACGTTTCACCAGTACTGAGTGCTCCCACGAAAGGTCCCAGGTACCTGCTCTTCCCTCTCCATTTCTACATCTTCAGGAGGGTGGCCAGGTTCTCTGTCCTCTAACCTCTGTGGGTGCTGTTCTTGCGGCAATGGCTGCGGCTTCCTCCTGCCCTTGAACTCTCCGTTCAGGAAACTGACCACCTCACCTCAGGGAGACATCTCTGGTTCCCATAGGGGTGTTCCAGGTGGGAGAATCACCCCCCCACTAAAGAAGTCCAAACTGAAGCTGCTTTTGTGGAGCTTATGAAGCCCATTGCCTTGTCAGGTCCCCCACCCAGTAGTCCTTCCTCAATCATGTCCTCTCCTGCTTTTGAGTTTTCCAGGCTCCAGCAATTTGAGCTATTACTTCCATGACAACAGAAACGCTCCATTGCCAGTGTTCCTTGCAGCCGTGGAACATGCCCCAGGCATTTGATTACTTCCTTTAAATCAGTCCAGCAGAGGTTCTAAAATTTCATCCTGCTTATTAATTTGGTCCTGTCTCTTCTTCATCCCGGTTGGGTATAATGTTCTCTGGATCAAAGAAACTTCACTTTCTCCACCGAGACCCACAGATTCTTATAAGCCAGCATTGTTCTTGCAGAGCGAGCTGCGTACTCAGCTTTCTCTAACCCTGTCCGACAGGAACGTCCCCTTCCCTGCTGCCAGGACCAGCCCCAGTGTGGAAGTGTCCACCCGTGGAAGTCAACTCTTGCGAATTTCCTCCAACCAGCCTGCTGCTCATTGGCCTGGAATTCCGGGGTCTGATCTTAGCAGACCCAGGGAAAAGCTATCACATTATGTCATTGCCAGCTCAGCGGTAGCCTGGGCCTGCCTTCTGCCTAGGGTCAGAGGAGGTGGGGGCAGACACCAGAGCAGTGTGACCTGTGCCAGGTTGCTGTACCCCACGGAGACTGGGAGTGGAGGACACCTGTGTCCAATGTAAGCTCAGCTTACCAGCCTCTCTACCCCTCAAAATTGGGGAGTAAAAGGAAGAGAGAGTGAGATAGTCCTGTGTGTGCAGCACCTGGGAGGCACAGTAGCCTTGCCCATTGGAAAAGATGTCCTCCTCAGTGTCCAGGAGTCTTTCCCAACCAGACTGGTGCTCAATCACTCCTTTGGAGAAAGAATGAACACAAGTGGAGAGAGGGTAGAGACCCCTTCCTCCATATCTTCAGGTGTAACTGGGCAGTACTCATTCGCAGCTGGAAGAAGTAGAATTCAGTGGGATATGATTTGGAAAGCACTGTCCCCCTGTGGCCCCTGAATCCTCACCTGCTCTCGCCCTTTGCTCACCTTGGGCCCCCAGGTTTCCTGCTGCCTCCCTTCTCTGCTGGTGGCTCTGCCCTGAGTTCTGGCCCCATTCTCCTTTTGCTCTCATTCTTTACCTTGATTTTGTACTGATGTAGAGTAAGTCTTCTAGGTCACTTCTCTTTCTTTGTAGAATGACAAATCAGAATCTGAATGAAAATCTAACACAGATATAACTCCAAGGCGGAGCGGAGGTCACTCTGCCCTTTTGTATCTAGATCATCTGGGCTCCAACTTCCATCCTTCTCCAGTGAGAAGCCTTTGTCTTCTCAAGATTCCAGTGACTTCTTTGAAGTCCAGGTGTTTCTTCACACCTGGCTGTTGGAAAGCAGCCCAAAATCCAGATACCTCAAACCCTTGCATCTGAAGTGTCAACATTGTCACCAACTTGGCACTCTTCTCTGGCTCTGGGGGCTTGAAGAGTTCTCTTTTATCTCTGGCTGATTTCTAGGAATGCTAAAAGCATTCTTCCCAGTTTATAATATCAAGCATTTTGGTGCTCTCCAGCTCTGTGTTCAAAAGTCAGGACCTAACTTGACCTGGTCCAGGCTCTCTCACAGGCCTGAGAAAAGATTTGAAGTTTCTTTCTTTCTCTCCCACTCCCCAACCCTTACCCCCTGCAATCTCAGCAAGGGGATGCAGCAAATGTGTCATTTACCGCCCACTCATATGCAAACTATGCCCCCCTTACAAAAGGCAGAAGCAACTGAGGACAATTTTGGTTCAAGTGGATATCTTTGCTGTCCTTTGCACAACAAGCGGACTGCTGGGAGCTGGCCCTGCTCATCCCTGGTCCGCTCTATCCCTGGTCCTCCAGGCCTTGCCGATCAAACCTCTCCTCCATCCATCTGCCTCATTTCAGGGAAACCCAGTACCTCTTAGAGTGAAGGAGGAACACAGTGACTGCAGCCCAGCCAGAGTAAATACTTTCACTTCTGTTTTCCCCATTTGGGCGGAGCCCTCTCTTGTTGAGTCAGTTGGTTGGCCGGCTGACTTCCTGCTCAGCGCCCGGGCAGCCACACTGGACTCAGGCTGGGCAGACTCGAACACCCGAGGCAGGGCCTGGGGTGGGAAGATGGCAGGTGAGGGCAGCCAGCTGAGCATCAGGTGAGTCTTTTTCTCCCTTCTCTTAGGCTTTATCTCTGGCACTATTGCTGCTTTTGTGCCTTTAGTTCAGTTAGTGCATAAAACTTCACCTTAGTTTAGTCCTGCTTTGCAAGGATAGTGGTATGTAATATAATGAGATGAAAAAGTATGTAATGAGGAAATCGGATTTTTTAAACTACAGCAGGACGGCTGTTGGTGTGAGTCCAGCTTACCATAACACACGTGATGTTTTTGTTTTCCAACTTCTGCTCAGCTGGCCGGGACACTGAACACAGCAGTCCCTTGCGGCAGGGATTTATTATTTCCTCATGACCTCTGAACCCTTTCATGTCTCTCCGCCTTCCTCTACCTTCATATAGATTATGTCAAGGAAAGTAGTTTAGAAAATAAACACTCCAGGGCAAACACCTGACTTATTGTTAAACACTGGATGCTGTGGTCTCACCTGTCCTGGCACTGGGCCTCTGCCGGCTCCCAGGCCATTTCTATGACTGACTTGGGGTCTGACGTCTTTCTTCACTGACCTTGATCAAAAGAAGGGAAAGGAAGAGAAAGGCCGGGGACAGCAAATGTCTCATGTAGGCTGAATGTTTTTATTTTCGCTTTAATTTCCTGTCCCGGGACAGGGGATACTTCTGACCAGAAAAGGGATAAGAATTCTATCTTTTCTTTAGTAATGTACTCAGAAGTAATTACTTAATATTTTACATTTTTTAACACAAAGAAATACATTACACATTCCTGTTCATAAAATTTCAAGCAATGTGGAGGTATAAAGAGGAAAACGTCCCCTTCGCCACTCACTCCCCAGCCTCGTAACTTCCTTTCTCTGTTCCGTGAAGAGTCTTAGGCACAGCCTTCCTTATATTTTCTATACATTTATATACAGAACGTGTTTGTGCAAATACGTGATTTGTGTTCTCATTTTGTAATAAATGGGATTATATTGCACAAACTGTTTTGCATTTTCACTTATTTTAAGAGTGGAAATCTTGAGAGATCTTTTCACTTTCATACATATAGATCCATGTCGTTGTTTTTAACAGCTACATGCTATTCCATGGAATTGATGGCCATAATTTTTTTTTAACTAATTGAAGGACATTTAGGTTGTTTTCATTTGTTCACCATACCAACATGCTGTAATAACAATGATTACATATTTTTGCGTATATGCAAGTACTTATCTGTGTCAAAACCCAAAAAAGTAGAATTATTGGGGCAAAGTGTGCTAATTTTTACTTGTTTGTAGATCCTTACAAATTGCTTTTCTAAGTGACTGAATGAATGTATTCTCCCACCAAAAGCAAATGAGACAAGCCATCTCCCTACACACAGCCACATTTTACAAAGATGGTGGATGAAAAGTTGCATCTTGTTTTAATTTCTGTTTTTCTGATTATGTGGGAAGTTGAAGAGTTTTTGGTGTTTCCTAACCATTTATATTTCTTCTTTTATGAATTGCTCATTTATTTTTTGCCAATATGGTTCAGTTGAGGTGTTTGTTCTTTCTTTCATGATATGAAAGAGTTTGCAAAATATTCTGATAAGTAGAAATATGCTTTTCTTTTAGCTTGGTGTAGAGCAACTTTTATCTTATTAAAGCTTAAAAGATAACATGTAGACCTATTATGGTATTGAATTTACCAAATAGATGCACTCTCATTGTTATAAATAAATACAGTGATGCAGCATGTTGCTGTCAGCCTTTAAGGTCGTTCCTGTGTTCTTTAAGGTGGCAGATATGAGTCTACATTTATTTCAGGAAAATTTTATTCTCTAATATCTTGAAAACTTTTTTTTCCTTTAATTTTTAGGCAAAATTATTCTGACACTGGAGTAACTTTAGCCCTTACAAAGTTTTTACCTGCCTCCTAGTATGTTGGTTTGCTCAATTTTTTATTTTGTGTTCCTAATGGTTGTCTCAAACTTTTCCTCTATGACAATGATTTAATTTTTAGTAGGTTTTTTTTGTTTCTCATAATTTCTAATTAAAAAAATAATTGATAGTGTTTATTTTTTAGGGATATCTTAATTTGTTTCTATAGCTATATAATCCACTGTAACCCACATTGTTAATTTATCAATCTGTCTCTATGTCTTTGCTGTATTTAGGTTTTAGTGTGGTATTAAGCATTTGGGGGATATTTTTGTTATCTTCTTTGAGTTATTCTTCCAGATTGATTCTGTTTGAATTTGGCATCCCATGTTCCTTTATTTTTTTCATGTTCCTGCTGTGACTTTTCAGCCTGTCTTGCTATGTTGACCGAGTCACCTTGCCCCAAACCTCCTGCGGGCTCAGTCATAATCTGGGTGAAATTTATTTCACATTCCTTGCTTTATCTGAGACCTAATTGTTTCCCATCTGAGCTACAGTTTGAGGGCTGTGTTTTGATTCCTTTCAATTTTTCTGAGAACAACATTAATTGATTAAACTATCCCTTTCCCCATTGACTCGCAGTGTTACCTTTTTCATTAGCCTGGTGGCCATAAAGGCAAGATGTGTTTCTGTGTTCTCTTTTCTCTGTCTTTGGCCTATGAGAGCCACTGTTTATGCCAGTACCCTACTGGCATAGTGCTGGTGGCTTCCTTGACATCTGGTAGAGTGAATTTCCTCCTCTTCCTCCAAAGTGTTTTGGATTTCTTTTTTCTGAATCAGCTTGTCAAAATCTTTTTGGGATTTTGTGTGAAATTGCATTAAATCTATGGAAGAATTTGAAGAGAACTGACATTATGGCAAGATTGTATCTTTCATCTCATGAATATGGTATATGTAGATTATTAATTTTAACTTATCTCCTATTAATTGCTATTTTTTCTCCCTGAGGGTTTTGTACTTCTGCTCAGTTTCTGAATAAGTTTTGATATCTTTATGCCATTATAAACTCTAGTAGTCTCCCCTTATCCACAATTTCGCTTTCCATGTTTCAGTTACAGTGGTCAACTGAGGTCCAAAAATATTCAATGGAAAATTACAGGAATAAAAAATTTGTTATAAATTGTGTCATACTGAATAGTATAATGAAATCTTGCACCATCCTTCTCTGTCCCACCCTTTTGTCTATCATACCCATGCTGTAGAGAGTACCTGCTCTGTAGTCACTTATGGACATCTTGGTTATCACTCAACTGTCATGGTATCTCAGTGCTTATGTTCCTATTTTACTTAATAATGGCCCCAAAGCACAAGAGAGGTGATGCTGGCAATCTGGATATGCCAAAAAGAAGACAACATGGTCTTCTTTTAAATGAAAAGGTGAAAGTTCTCGACTTAATAATGAAAGAAGAAAAATCATATGCTGAATTTCCTAAGGTTTGCAGTATAATATTTTGAGAGAGAGAAACTGAGAGAAACAGACACACACACACACACACACACACACACACACACACACACACAGGGAGACAGAGAGAGAGAGAGAGAGGTTATTTTCACATAACTCATAACTGCTATTACAATGTTTTGTTTTCATTGTTCTATTTAATTTATTTTTTGTTAATCTCTTACTGTGTATCATTTATTAAAATTAAATTTTACCATAGGCATATATGTATAGGAAAAAACAGTATACATAGGGTTTGGTAATATTCATTCAGGTATCCACTGAGGGTCTTCGATCTCTAGTTCTATTTTTTTATTACTGTTTCAGTACTGAAGTGTTTTAGTTATTATGATTTTATAGGTAACATTCTGTAACTTATCTTGCTGGTGAGATATTGAATGAAGAGATAAATTTTAAAAGAGTTCACATTTTTAAAAATTCTGAATGATCTCAACTAGAAGCATGATATATTTCTCCATTTATTCAACAATCTTTTGAAATTCTCATAGCATAGTCTCATTGGGTGAGTTTAGTGTCAGGCATTTTAAAATTGTATATATAATACAAATTTTTTGTATTTACTTTTATATTTTCTACTTATTTATTTCTGGCATAGGAAGAAAGCTATCACTTTTAGTTTATTTGTCTTGTGCGTAGAAATCTTACTAGGTGGTCTTCTCCCTTCTAATATTGTCTTTTTTTTCTTTTTTCTTTTTGGACAAATAATTACATCTTCAAAAGTAGTGAATCCCCATGATGAACTCTTCCCAAACTCTCTATGGAACTGTAAAATTCTTCCCAATACAGTGAGACACATTGGGTAATTTATCAATTCCATCTTATTTTCTTGGAAAAGCCCTCCTTTAACTATCCATTTTCCTGATCCAAACATTCTGCTTACTTTAGGCCTCCAAGGCTGACCTTCTGAAACTTGACCTCTCTCCTACATTACATCTTGTTTTGTGGATGACTTGTATTCCTCTTTCTTGTTTTACTCCCTCATTTTTGTTTAGCACACTGTCTTGTAGCCTCCTGGCTAAGCATTCTTAGAAGGTATACATAGATGTATGGGACCCAAAAAACTGCAAATTTTGTTTATAAAAAATTGTGTATTTTTTCCTACTAGTCACCTTCAAACTACTCTCCATTTGATGCATTACACCTATCAAGACTCTTTTTCCACTGCTCAAAACAGTTTTTGAACTCATCAATTTTGGTGTCTTTTAGTGCTTCTGCCATTTTTTGTTTCACCTTTTCCACATCAGCAAAATATTTTCCTTTTTTCATTGGGGAAACAAAAAAGAGTCACTGGGGATGAGATCAGGTGAATAAGGATAGTGGGGCATGGAGGTCATGCTGTTTTTTATTTTAAAACTGCTGAACACTCAGTATGGTGTGGGCAGGTACACTCATAGATCACCCATCAAGAAATGGGCAAACTCCTTGAAAGAATTTTTTTTTTAAAATTCACTGAAGCCAAATGCAGCCTCTCACAACAATGCTAGCTGGTACACTGATGCCAACGTGTTCCTAGAACACTTGTCTAACAGAGGAAACCTGTACTACAAAGGGCCTACCCTCCACAAAAGATAATTCTGGATTTTTTTTTTTTTTGGTTCACCTCATATATTTTTAAGATCCTTCATGCCTGAAAGAAATCTTTTAAAATTGTTTATC